GACCACGCGGCCTCCAAGGCAGACCCGGTAGTTGGGACGAGGATCTTATAGGGTACTTGGCACCCACCGATGATGTCGGCCCTCCCCGTTGAATGTCATTCCTCGCCCTGGTATCACGATTCGGAGCTAGCCTTTCTATCGTGCTCCTTCCATTGGTCCCCAGCGATTGCAGCAGTGGGGAGCAACCGGCCTCGGGGCTCAGTGCTCTTACCTCGCCAAAGCAGGGAAATTGGCAGTCAGAAAAAGGAGCAGTACGGCGCGACCTCGTTCGTTGGTTCTCCGGGCCAGGTTACACTGGTTGACCAACGAGCGGTTCCAATAGTGACCCTCGCCAGCAGCGACTTTTTCAGGCTTTTTTTGCGCCTCGGCAGCGCGTCCGGTAGGTAGGGCACCACATCCGCTGATCCACCGTATGGCCTTTTTACTTTGATGTCCCTGAGGTAGAGAGTATCATACTCGGTATCTTCGCAAATCACCACCCAGTCTATCTATTTCCGAATGCCGACAAACAGTGATCCATCGGTTGATGAGGGGTGGCAATTTTCAGGCAGAAATGACTTTTTGGATCGCCCCAAATGGAGGACCATAGATACTCATAGTCTGCGTGCGGCCGGAGTTCGGTGTGGGGGGTGGCGGGGGGGAATTGGGGGGGATGAAGGGAAAGTACGCGGAGAGTTTGAGAGAGAGGTAAGGTGGGAAGGGCAGCAGCATTTTGAAGCGAGTGGGATAGACAATGAGCATTGAAAGAGGATCTTTGTGAAGAAGGGAAGTGGTGGTAAGAGCTAATGATGATGATGGTGGTGGTGCTGGTGGTGGTGTCAGTGATAATGATGAAAGGAACTCAAGCAAGGCATTTCACTCAATCGAGCCTAGTATCAGTTGATTAAAGTGAAATGTGCCTGAGGGGCACGTGTAATTGGCGGTCGGAGGGGACGAGGGAAGCCTGAGGCGCTTTTCATCACAAGATGAACAGGGAGAGAATCCAGTTTTTCGTCGACATGTACTGTATGATGAGTATGTATCTCTTCCATTATTAGTCGATTTTAATATTATCATGAATTTTCTTTTCCTCTGTACAATTAATTAGGGTACCTTATGACTGATCATCAAGTATCAATGCAAATCAACGCAATTCCACCGAACCTATTCATTGATAACTACCATCATATACCATGCCATATTAAGATTCAGCTTCCGTCCTGACCCAACCTCGTCGTTTGCTTGCTTGCTCGCTTGCTGGATTGGTTCTTCTTGCTTGATTGCTTGATTGCTTTTCTGGATTTCATTTTGACTTTATGGGCGGCTGCCTGCTTGCTTTAAATAACTGCGTGGTTTTATTGCATTGCATTATAATTATCGTTATTATAATCGTTGCTATCATATCCGATCCCTCCAGTTCCACTACGACAGCGGCGCGGCGGCGGGCGGACGACGGGCTATTATATTAACGGTTCATTAGCTCATGACCAGTTCCAGTTCTTGCTACTCTTGCTCTGGTCCCCCCCAATCTCCGTCGTCTGTCTCCATCCATCATCTTCCCTTTCTTTCTACTCCCTCTTCACTCTTCACTCTTCCTTTCCCTCTTTCGCTTTCACCCTCTAGACTCGGATTCTCGACCACTCTCGCTCCTCCTCCTCTCCTCCTCTCCTCCTCCTCCCCTCCTCCCCTCTTTCCTCTCCACCGTCGGTGCCTTGTCCTTGATTCTCGACTCCAGCGCCCCTCAATTCACCCCACCACCAGCCAACAAACGTGCTCAACTCCTTCCTCTCTTCCAACTTCACCTCTTCCTCTGGTCTCGGTCTCTCTTGGCTTCTTCCCTTTTCTGCAGTTTACCATTTCTCTTAAGATTGGGACGTTCTTCCTCCCCCACTACAATTCGTCTCTATTCGAGGCTCTGCCTGCCGTCTGCTCTTACCGGATCGATATAGACGATTCTCCCTCGGGAATGGCCTGAGGTGTGCCCCGCGTCGACGAAATCCTGCCTTGTTTTCTTGCTCTCAGATCCGCTTCGGTAGCTCGCTTCTGCACACCCGCTGCAAGAAAAAAAGAAACTTGCACTTTTGAAAACGATCGAGGCCAATCGAAGTCGCAATTGACTTCGACACCTTATTTCCCGATCGTTCCGACTTTGCCTCCCCCGCCCTCCCGTTCAATCCAAGATACCCCGACTCTCCCGAGTCCGCGATCTCACACGGTGTTGGCTACCGGCCTTCAACTAGCCAAGCGCGCGCCTCTGGATCTCACAACACGCATTCCTCGTGCACCGATTATATCTCATGGACACTGAACGAGAGCATCTGGCTGAGATCTCGACTGCAAAGCCCGTCATGTCAGACATTGATAATAGGTCCGACACCACGGACGACGACCTCTCTCCGTCTCTTGCCACTGCGCAGTCATATGCTTCAGTACCATCTTTGCGACCGACTATGGACAAACCCACAATCAATCCCTCTTCGACGCATTTGGGTCAGATCAATGCAGCTCGACGAGGAGTCGGCACCGTCCCTCGTCCCCAAGCTTCGATGAGTGGCGCACAGCCGGGTGGATTGAATCAGGACATCTTGGCCAAAATGAAAGCGTTCTCTTTATCTCGACAAGGAGCGCCGCCGAGTCTGACACATGCTAATACAACTAGCTTCGTGCCTAAGGCCTCTTCACCATCCACGTCTAGCGCTAGCCCCGTTTCATCTCCGCCTTCCGCCGCGAACGGATCTCTCGGTGGTGCTTTCGCAGGCCGCTTGCCTCCCGGGGCAGTCCGGCCAGGCACCAAGAATTGGGTTTCATCTCCCTCTGTCCCTCATGGCTCGCCTACAAACTCCCCGAAACCCGGCGGCTTGGCAGCGAAACGCATGAAGCCCGGCCTCAAGCTCTCTGACGCAACTGGCTCAAACAGCCCTGCCCCAGGTGGGCAGTCCAACGGTGAATCTGGAAAGCAGGAGACAGCGTTCAGCAGGTACTCTGAATTCATCGACACGAAAGCAGGAACGCTCAATTTCAAGAACAAAGCAATCCTCCACGGCGGTGGAATCGAATTCTCCTCGGGTCAAAGTTTCAGCATATCATTAGACGAGGTGGACCGCTTGGATGAACTGGGCAAGGGTAATTATGGTACTGTTTATAAGGTCCGACATAGTCGGCCGCACATGCGCAAGCCCGGTTTGGGGTTGCGCGGAATTGTCAGTCGCCCGACGGAGCAGAATGGGGCAGGGAATTCGCAGGATTCGCTCTCTGGTGTTGTCATGGCGATGAAAGAAATTCGTCTAGAGCTCGACGAGAGCAAGTTCGCGCAAATCATCATGGAGTTGGACATTCTGCATCGGTGTGTCTCGCCGTTCATTATCGACTTCTACGGCGCCTTCTTCCAGGAAGGAGCGGTATACATCTGCGTCGAGTACATGGATGGTGGCTCAATCGACAAGATCTACAAGGAGGGTATCCCGGAGAATATCCTTCGGAAGGTCGCGTTGTCCACAGTCATGGGTCTGAGAACGCTCAAGGAAGACCACAACATCATTCATCGCGATGTCAAGCCCACGAATATCCTGATCAATTCGCGTGGACAGATTAAGATCTGTGACTTTGGCGTGAGCGGCAATCTTGTCGCCAGTATTGCCAAGACGAATATTGGATGCCAGAGTTATATGGCGCCCGAGCGTATCGCTGGCGGTGGCGTTCAACAGTCTGGTTCTGGTGGTGGAACTTATAGTGTTCAGAGCGATGTGTGGAGCTTGGGTCTGTCCATTATTGAGTGTGCCATCGGCCGCTACCCTTACCCACCAGAGACCTTCAACAACATCTTCAGTCAACTACACGTGAGTACTCATAACCTCCCACATAGTGATACCTCGGGATTTGGCAGTTCTAACAGGTGATCTTCAGGCGATTGTCCATGGAGATGCTCCCACCCTTCCCGAAACCGGATACTCGGAAGAAGCGCACGCCTTTGTCCGCGCCTGCTTGGATAAGAATCCCAATAACCGCCCCTCTTATAATATGCTTCTTCGACACCCCTGGCTATCCTCGCTCATGCAACCTCCGGGCGAATCGGATGGAGCGAATGAAGAGGCCACACCACTCGTCAATGGCTCTGGACCTGGGGGTTCACCTTCAACTGAGGACCCAGAAGTGGCCGAATGGGTCAAGGAGAGGCTCGAGCGTCGTGAGAAGGGGCTTCTTCTTGAAGCAGATAAGCCGGCACTTCATGCAGTGGCTCTCGATGCAGTTCCGGGCAGCCCCTTGTTGGATGATGCTTCGGCGATGTATAACCAGCGCTGATGGGTTACCGTTCTTCTTCTGTCACCAATCAACTGATACCATTGCTTCCTGGCTGCCCAATTACCTCCATCAATCTCAACCTGTCACTTCATGAGTTGACACGAACGGGTGACACTGCTGGCGCTGGCGCCGTCTAGCCGGGGCTGTCTTCCATCGGAGCATACACTACCCCTCCTTGCACCCTTGGGCCCCTGGTGTACTCGAAGGTGGCCCTGTTATCCATTCTCGTGAACGAGCGGGACATGTGTTACTTCGGATGCTGTTTTATGCTTGCTTTTGGGCATTGATGTATAACGAATGTACAGACGTAATATGTTAGCTAGATTCTCCACGATGTACAAGCACAGGCACGGCCGTGTCGAGATAAATGAAATGCTATACGCTGCTGGATTTTATAGGAATTCTTCGCCCGCTTCGAGTGCTTCCGAGAGGTAATATGTCTTTTACTGCTCGCTCAAGGTAGCTACTAAATGCTGCTCAGTGGTCCATGCTCTGGGAAAGCAACAAATGAGAAAAAAATTGGCAATAAGTTGACAATTCTGCTGTGGCTCGTTCACACTGGGGTATAAGGAAAGATTTAGCACATCCAAACAATTGGGGTTGTGTAGTGTAATGGTTAGCACCCAGGATTCTGATTCCTGTAATCCCGGTTCGATCCCGGGCACGACCTTTTTGACCTCTTCCCATCATTTTCAATGATGGACGTGCTTGTGATGATGAGTGTTGTTGGCTTTTTCCTTCCCTTGTTCTTTTTACTATTTTTGTCTCCCAGTAGTGTGTCTTTTTTAAGGTTCGGGGAGGTGCGAGTTCATCCGTGGACTCGCCGTTGAATCCTGGTGTCATCATGAATCACACCAGAGGATCAGACAACACTTCGACCAGGAGATCGACATATTTCAAGAAAGCGCGAACAAGCAGGCCAACATCACAAGCAAGTGTATCCTCCTCGTTTCAGCCTGCTCTATGAATGAATCCCACCTTTTTGTCCTCCCTCACTCAACACAACCCTATCTATACATACCTATATCAACTCCCCCCCTCCTCTACTCTATATAGATCAGACAACTTCCACCTCCCCCCCGGGCGAAGTCCAGGTCTAAACCCAAGTATATACACACCCCGCAACCCCCTCCCAAGAACTCTACCCCAGAACTGTTCCCACAAACTCCTCCAACCCATCAATCACCACCTCCGGCCCCGCCGCCTCACACTCCGCCGCATCCCCCTGCCCAAACCGACACCAACAAACCGGACACCCGAGATTCCTCGCAAACCGAATATCCGTAATCGTATCGCCCACCATCAGCACCCGCCGCATATCCACCCCGCCATCCCTCTCCAACCACTCCGGACTTCCACCACCACCACCACCACCACCACCCCGCACCGCGAAATACTCCTTCAACCGCGGCACCAACCCCTCCGCAAACCCGGCGGGATCGGGCTTCCGCTTCCCGCCGGGAAACGCCCCGTCCCCGATGACCAGCGCCTCCGGGATGAAGGCCAGGAACCCGTCGCGCTGCAGCGCGGCCCGGAGAGCGCTCACGGCCTTGTTGCTGACGATGGCCACGGGGATGCGGTGGGTCTGCGTGAGGGTGCGGACGAGGTCGTACGCGGCCGGGTAGGGTTTTGTAAGCGAGTGGCCGTGTTCGGCGTAGAGGGCGCGGTAGGTCGTTATCCAGGTGGCCTCGTCGAATGCTTCCAGGGTGGTGGGGTCGAGGAGGGCGCGGAAGGTGACTTCGGGGCTGTGGCCTTGGGCGATGAGGTTGGTCAGCTGCGTGGTCGGGAGCGGGTGGTCCGGCAGGAAGTGGTGGAAGGTGCGTTGCATGGAGGTGTAGATGGCTTCGTGGGAGTCGTAGATGGTGCCGTCGAAGTCGAGGATTATGAGGTCGTATTTTTGCGGCATGATGGTGGGTTCGGAGGGGTTGGGGGTGGTGAGGTTTGCAGGGTTGGGGATCTATGCTGTAGGGTGGGAACAGTCTTGAGGTCGCTGTATTTGTGCTGTAGATCTTTCTGTATTTATCGTGTTTTCTAGACAAGGGGGAAGAAGTATCTAAGGTGATACAAGTGGGTTTGAGAATGAATGCATGGGTATGAGTCAAAGGTTAATTTACTTTTTAGAGTTCTGCTGTGATATCCGTTACCCGCATATTTCGGAATGATCTCCGGATTTCTGAACCCCCCCGCACAATCACGAGGCGACTTCGATTCAATTGGCAGACATGGTCTAGTGCCGTGTCTAGTGTCTGGCGACTGGGCCCACAAAAAAAAAAGAAAAGAAAAAAGAAAATAAGAGGATTGATCCAATTGGTTTCAGTGGTTGTGCGAGTCTAGGCTAAGAATCTGACATGCAAAAAGGTCGTGCCCGGGATCGAACCGGGATTACAGGAATCAGAATCCTGGGTGCTAACCATTACACTACACAACCAATTGTTAAGGAACGGCACAAACTTTGCATTCTTGGATTTGCTCATAGGCTTGGAGCTCTGTAGTGCAAGTTAGCTTCGACACTTCGACAAAAGTAAATGGCAAAGCACTTGAGACGAGCCACGTGTGTCTGGTTGGGCAATACTAGGCTCCGAATAGACCTCCAGGCACCGGCTTCTAGTCGTGTCACTCATCAACCCTAATGGCGTCTCTATTTCGTTCAATCGAAGGAATGGCGATATGCGATGGATACTCTCCACTCCACATAGGTGGGGATTTCTGGAATCTGGAAATGACTGGGCCTTGGTATCCAGCGTTGCCTGTTGTGGTTGGTGTAGTCAGCGCTCGACAGCTTGGACTCTCGGGCGCGACCCGTTCGTCGCTCGATGACATGACATGCTTCTCTTGTATATTGGATTGGCGAGGATTGCGGTATCTATGTGGTAGGCTCACTATGTTGTTCTAGCAACCTATTGTTCTGTGAGCTCCCTGGTTCGCAGGTATAGGTGAGGCTGGTTCGAGGCGGCGGGGGGGAGGGGATGGTTGAGAATGGCTCCGTGCTGGTTTTGCCAGGCTGGCTCACAGTCAACGGCTCGCATTTGTGTCTGGCAGGATTGGATGATAGAAGCCATGGGGCATACTGCTGGGCTCTCCGATATATGTGACCTGCACCCCGGCGTATGTGTCGAGCTTCCCAGGAGGTTGCCCGTGTATGTCATACGGTGATGTGCACATGGTATCCGGTCTCGAACGGTGGTGCGGGTTGGTGTATGCGTGGCATGGTTGTGCATGTTGCCTTCTACTCCTGGTGGAGTACAGGCAACTGATCGCTGATGGACGGTGCTGACTATGGCTGCATGATATAGGCGACGGCCGGTATGAGGATCTCAGTCGAGCGACGAGCAGTAGGCTATCGCATGCTGAGTGGTGCCTTCCCAGTGGCATGGAAGACTGCGGGTGCCGTACCGCTTGGGTCGACGATTCAGTTGTTGGTGACTATGACTTACCGCTTTGTCCATGTTGCTTTTACATAGTGATGCTTGCGAGGGGGTTGTACGCCTCGCGTCAATCCTGTGTTGGTCACAGTTCCTTGGAATTTCTGCCCGGTGTCTTCCAGGTTGTTCGGCAAGCTGCTCTATACTCGAGGGAAGCCGCATTAGTTGCTGTTTCCGGATCTATGTGTCTTCAAATGCATACAGCAGCCATCTCCCTCCGAAACAGTATGACTCTGGGCTGCGGGCCGAAATCTCCCAGACAGTTCATCCTGTCGTTGTCTTCCATGCCTGTGCGAGTCTGTGTCAGGGAAGCGTCACATCGGCCATGTCGTTCCGACCTGGAAGGCGCTTCCTGCACTCGGTGACACTGGGTCTGGCCAGGTGGTAGCCATGGATGTATAGGGTAGCATCACACGTTCACCGATGACATCGATGCTGAGTGTAGCCGCTGGATATATATCCCCATTCGGCCTTCGACAGGAAACCCGCCAAGTGGTGAGGAATGCTGCATTCCCGCCAAGATAGGAAGAATGTTGACACCGTCAGTACTCGGGTATGAAGTGTAAAATGAGATCATACGTTCGTTGTTCAGAAGGCATCGTCATCCCGTGGTCTGTGTATACCTCGAGCTCACTCTCTAATAGACTGCTGTGCAGGAACATATCGACATACACAAATAGATAAAATAACTATCAGGTTGTGTAGTGTAATGGTTAGCACCCAGGATTCTGATTCCTGTAATCCCGGTTCGATCCCGGGCACGACCTTTTTGCGTGCCTGATATATTTTTTCTTTTGCGGTTTCTGGGTCGGCTTGCGTAACGCCACACCCACAACGTTCCAGCCAAGAATTGTGACAATAGCATTATCTCAAACCGTCTTCCTGTACTGTACCACAACCCCCAAGGCTGGGTGATGCCGACTACTGATTTCACCACGGTGCAATGTTTGCCCCACGGTAGCACCATAACAAACACACTAGCAACAACAACAACAACATCATCCTTGCGTACTGACTGTTTCATACAAGCCTGACTGACATCAAAATGGAAATGTCAGCTAGGAAGTACATACATAGTAGCATATCTCAATCACCGCAGCCCGCGGCCTCCGGTCTTCGCAGTATACACACACCCAGTGCTAAGTATAGCCCGCGTGGCAAGCAGTCCGGCACACAGCCACTTAACTCAGACAATGTTTTCAATAGTTTGAGACCTGCAATATTCGTTCGCTGCAATTAGACATTCTAAAGTATAGCGACATAGTCCAGCCATCTCCCCATCACGAAACTTCATCGACTACTTTGAGCGGTCTATACATTATCCCGGCTATTTTTGGACGGTGTCTTATCCATGGTGGAGACAAGCGAGAAAAGAAAGAAAAAAAAAAAAGGCGACTAAGGCAGCAGCGGCAAGCCGAGCTGGCCTAGTCTGGTGTATTGCAGCCGGGTAGAGACAAACTGCGGGTTCGTGGATGCTTGCCTGCCATTACTTAACCAGTATCATGCTGACCGCATTACCAGTATCCACGACTGGGCTGCAGGGTTGGTCCGGTCATGGGATTCAATCAACGGGCGTTGTTGGGTACCAAGAACTTGATGGTTCTACAACGTTCTCTCTGCCGGTTCCTTGGCTAGCGTACCCGACATGGGTTCGGGCGGTTGAGTCTCGGTTGAGTAATAGTTTATTTATTTTTTTTCCTGTTGTGTCCCAAAGTTGCGGGTGGCTCAACATGTTTACTGGGAGATACTGTTTATGTCATTTGATTGCTGGGCGATGTTGAATATTTCAATTATATATAAGCCAAGATAAGACTGATATGAGACATATGAAATGTTGAGGGTAGAGTCGCATGGTGTGCGAGTCGGGTATCAATAGACATAGAATGAAAAAGAAAACAGTCAAGCAATAGTGGCGTCGACAGTATACGTATATCGAGACGTCACTTTGCAGTAGTGAATGAGTAAACGTGTAGTTGCAACTTGCAAGCTGGCTGGAATGCGGGGTATCGTGTGATCACCGCAGCCGTGTGCATCGCTAGGTTGAAACTAGACCAGGAAGGTTTGCTTGCATAAACGGAACCTGCCGTCTCTCTACCAAGCCCCGGAGCTGCCGGATTCCCCAGATTGATTGTGAGAGGCTTCGACGGCATTGTTTGTCGTGGTCATATGGATGCTCTGTTGAACTCCATTCCCAAGGCCAATACCCAGCGGTTGAATGCTGGCGGCGGTGATATAGAACAAAGTTGGAAAAAAGTTCAGAAGATAGCCGAGGTGCCACCGTGCTGGATCCCCCTGTATCCTTGCAATGCATGTAGAGATGGTGCGATGGGATTTTGCGTGGATGGATGGTTATCGTTGACCTCGTGTTGAGTATAGACGTTCCCGTGTTGCATTAGGCTTGAAGGAGGTGCCGGGGTGGTTTTAGGTGTCCGGGACGCTATTGTTGATAATTATATCGCAGGAGTGTAGACCTTCCCCAGCCTCCAGACTAATTGATGTAGACCATCACAGCAAAGGAGACCAGACAGAAGCAAAGGGGGATATAGACTTTCCGGTCCATATCGCGGTCGAGTGGGGAAGACGGAGAGCCAGCGGAGCGAGGACGAGTAGTCGACTTAGTGTGTTTGTGGACCATGTTCTGATAAGGCGGCTTCTTGCCCGTCCTTGTTCTTGGTGTTGGTGTTGTGATTGATGTTGCGAGGCTGGGGATAAGATAATTTTGTCAGGAATGGGGATGAAAGAGGAGAGAAGGATGAAGACTACAGGGAAGGTGGAAAGGTAGGAGGGAAGAGGAGGGGAAAAGGAGGGGAAACGAGGATCGGGTGATCAGCAGCCAACGTGGCGCCCGATCACCCAACAAGATCGCAGCATCCCGCAGCGTGGCCGCTTTCAGTGCCTTTCTTCCCCAACCTTTGGACCTTCAACCGGCTGACTGATTGTCATGTGAAAGAGAGGTTGTTGTTGTTGAGCCGCCCGCCTGTTTTTTGAGGCACCAACAGGCATCGACGGCAGATGCTCAGCCGCTCAGCCACCCAGCCACCTCGAGGGCCCGAGTTCGATTCATCGCGGGGTCAGTTCTCAGGTCTTCTTTTTCCCACCTCTCTCTTTGTTTTGTCTGCTGTCTGCCAACTCTGCATGATTCACGTGGAGGGGCCGGAAATCCAACGCGGACAGCGGGACAAAAGTGACAGGGCAGGATCCTGTTGCAGGTCGGTCCAGGGGAAGGTGCTCGTAGATTACACCGACCCCCTGTTTGTCTCAGGTTGAGGCTGATGACAGCCAGTCAGGATGATGGTTTAATGACTTCGTACTTTGTGCACGCTACACTAATCTCCCGCAACGCGCCAACGGGCTAATCAACTGGACTGCTTGCTCGGAGCGCCTACCCGAATGCAGCGCAGAACAGTAGTATAGTAGTGATGCTCATTTAAGACATGGTCATGGCGGACCAACTGATATGAGATAGTTCACCCTAAGTGGATCCCCCCTCCCCCCGGTTGTTCAGGGTTGAAAGGAAAAATAGAGGCGTCCCCTTTCACCCTTGATTTCGCGCGCGTCAATACGACATCAGTTTGCCCTCTTCTCGTGCCTGTCAAGAAGAAAACAAAAATAATCTCCGGTGAGACATGAATTGTCTTCTGACCTGCAAAATGGTCACCCAGCCGAGGTGCGCGTCGCTTAGGGCCGAGTCAGTTCACCCACCAGCCCTTTTTAGACATCACCGCATCTTTTTTTTGGGGGGGGGTTGGTTTTGCATTATTTTAGGGACCCTCACTGTAAACTTTGTACATGTGACCACCAGTCGCATTGGATTTGCCTGACATTTGTATTGCGGTTCTAATGGAGAGCCATGAGTCTGAGGGCGGCGATCCATGGCTTCCATCCGTCCCCATGGATTGGTCTCGATCGCATCCCAGCGAGCAGTGCTGCGACAGTCCTCTGACACGAACCGCAGATGAGGGCACCAACAGTTGGTCAGATTGTACTTAAGTAGTGTACTCTAGTAGCGAGTCCTAATCTCCGTTGGGGGTTGCATAAAGCCATCGACAGGAGCGACCGTGGCGAAAAGGGAGTGTGGTTCAAGACTTGGCCCCTTCGGCTCCGGCTCACTAAAGTCATAGCGAGTATCGTTGCCTAACTAATCAATAATAATCCAAACAGTCCACTTTAGTTATCCCAGTGACTAATGGATCGAATCGGAGAATAGGGCGAATGACACCACGAGCTGAATTTTCGGAACCTCTCCCATGGAAGGAGGAGAGGAATAAACAAGGAGAGACCAAATCACCTCGAAGGGGTTGCAAGAGGGGGGGGTGGGAGAGACATTTCGAAGGACTTGTACGGAGTCAACCTGGGTCCTGTACGTATTTACCTAGTACTGTACAATACTTTGTAGGCTAAGGTGACACATACCACTGGCACAAGCTTTGGGAGAATCTGGTTGGACCTTCGTATACGCGCAAGTGCAAACTGTTCGCAGCCCTGAGCTTTCCCCGGGCCCTTCGAAAAGGGCAAGTGGATATAGCCCCAATCTGACCCAATCTGACCCTGTGGCCCTTTGGCAAGTTAACGAACTGACGCCAGTCAAAAACCCTTCCACACACTTGTGCTGGGGCCGTCTTCAGTGTCTGACTCCACTTTTGCACTTGCGATCACTTGAATTGATTGTCTTTGTCTTGTCTTGTCTTCCCTTTCCTTTCTGCCTCCTGCAATCAAGATTGTCTGACCACCCACCATCCGGATCCGTGACTGACTGACGCAGTTGCCTCTCATTCTCTCCCCCGATGGTGCCTGCCCAGACTTGCTCGCATCCTTCCTTCAGCCCTTAACTTATTCTACTCCTCCAGGAGACGAACCAGGGGAAACACCACCCTGTGCAGTGTTGTTTTACTTACCCCCAATTATCATCCTTGGTTCCGTTGGTTCACCAGGGCAGTCCCTCCATAATCTCGGACATGAGCGTAATTCTTGAGTCAAAAAGAGGTATTAATATCTTTTCTCCTTTGCCTCTATGACGGTGTATGTACCCAAAAAAAAAAAAGAGAAGAAACCCACTTGCTGTTAGTAGCATCCATCATTCACTACTACTACATAGTGAGTTAACGGAAGTTTAATCTTTGCCCACTCACCTTTCCTTCTTTGGGGTTCCTGCCACTCTCTCTCTCACTGACTGGGTTCTCCTGTCACTCGCTGCTCATAAACCATAATTACCGCCGCCCAATTCCTCTCTTGCTCCAGCAATTCTTACTTACTTCACTGCTACTTAATTATCTGGATCTCTCCCACTTCCCAACTTCCTTCTTCCCCACGAGTTTCTTCCACACATCTCTCGTTTTTCATACTTAGCAAGCAACAACGCCCTTGCACCTGCTGGTTGCCCTCCCACCTTCGCTTTCCACCCCTCCCACACATTCGTTGACCTTGATCTTACCGATCACAACCACACGATGTATTTCACATACGCTGCTGCTGCTGCACTCTCTGCAGTGCTTCCTCTCGCCGCTGCGCAGACCTACACCGACTGCAACCCCCTCGAAAGTAAGCTGCCTTGTTTGCGGCTCTGATCTACCCATCTAACCTGTGCAACAGAGACTTGCCCTGCTGATACGGCCCTGAGCTCCTCCACTTTCTCTTCCGACTTCACCCAAGGCGAATCTTCCTTCGCTGGATGGACTGCCACTGCTAACAACGTCACCTTTGATGAGAATGGTGCTGCATTCACTATCAACCAGAGGGGCCAAGCTCCCACCATTCAGACCAACTTCTACTTCTTCTTCGGCAGAGCTGAGGTTGTCATGAAGGCTGCCAGCGGTACTGGTATTGTCAGCAGTATTGTCTTGGAGTCGGACGACCTGGACGAGGTTGACTGGGTGAGCTTCCCTCTTGAATCCTGCGCCTACACCCACTATAATCCCCTTCTATCTTGCCTTCCCCCATCTTTCTCACGCCTGCCTACTCGCATTGGCATAACCTCATGCTGCGTGACTTGTCAAACTAACCGCACTGGTGCTTGTAGGAAGCTCTGGGCGGTGACACTACCCAGATTGAGACCAACTACTTCGGCAAGGGTGACACTACCACCTATGACCGTGCTACCTGGGTTGGAATCTCTTCTCCCCAGGAAAACTGGCACACTTACACCGTCGACTGGACCGAGACTGCTCTGAACTGGTACGTTGATGGCAACCTGGTCCGTACTCTGGCCTACAACGACGCCTCCAGCGGCACTCGCTTCCCCCAGACCCCCATGAACCTGAGAATCGGTATCTGGGCTGGTGGTGACTCCGACAACGCCCCTGGAACCATTGAATGGGCTGGTGGTGAGACCGACTACAGCCAGGCTCCTTTCACCATGTACGTCAAGTCTGTTTCGATCACCAACAACAACCCTGGCTGCAGCTACACCTACGGTGACAAGACCGGTAGCTACAGCAGCATTGTTGTGAACAAGGACGGCTGCGACGTCACCGGTGGAGCCTCCTCTGCTGCCTCTTCCTCCACCTCCGCCGCTGCCTCTTCTGCCTCCTCCGCTGGTTCCTCTGCCTCCTCTGCCTCGGGCGCCGGTTCTTCCACTGGTTCGTCCACTGGTGCTTCCGTCAGTGCTAGCGCTACTGGTGGTGTCATTGGTAACAGCGCCGGAGTTGGTGCCCTTGTCTCGGCTGCCGCTGCTTCCACTCCCGCTGCTGCTGCTTCCTCCGGTGTGGTTGGTGGCGGTGCTGGTGGTGCTGGTGGTGCCGCCTCCTCTTCCGCCGCTGCCGCTTCTTCCTCCGCTGCGGCTGCCGCCTCCGCCTCCGCCAGCGGTCTCTTCACCGGTGCCGCCTCCACCGTCACCACCTCCGTGGGCGCCATGCTCCTCGGTGTCTTCTCCGCTATGCTGTGCTTGTAAAATCATTTCTTGGTGGGATTGATTTGGCATGTCATCTCTACACACCGTCATGCGTCATCACCCCCCAGACCCTTTATCTTTTTGCTTAATCATCTTCGCTGCATAACTTTACACCACTTTTATCTGGATCTGTACTTGTACGGTTTGTACATAACTTGAGTTGGATTGCTTGGAGAATCAAGACTGGAAGCAAGGGGGGGGGATGGGCATGGATACACTGAACTGTTCGTTTTCATTGATTTTGGTTCTATACATTGTTTCTTTTGACAATTGGGAACCGGAAGCTAGATTAGACAGCTGGGAAATTCTTTTGTCTGACTTTCTCTTGGACGGAGGGCAAGAGCTCGTTATATTTTGGGTCTTGAGCCTCGACGGCTTTCTTCACACATCTCCAAGTGACTCGCTTTTGCTCGAGCAAACATGCTTCCTTTCTCTACTGGAGCGCTTCAATTTGCTCATGTGATTTCCCTGTTTGTCTTGCTTATTGGCGTGTGTGCTTTTCTAGCGAGAAAGGTAGCCTTTTGCTAGTAATAGTAATATTATTTTTCTTTTATCGAGATTGACGGTTTGCTGTAATAGGATTGGTTCTACAATCTAGATAGTGGAGCATACATGGATATTCGTAAATTGTATCAGTTGATTGATGGACCTGGAAAATGTGGGGGTGACTAATTCTCTTGGCCTTATGCATATGGATATGGAGCATCGCTGGCGTCAAATGTGTGTACTGTAGCTCTGAAACAAACTGATGTCAAGGCGTGGGGATTCGGGATCCGACTGGCGATTACTGCATGAGTACAAAGCCGCGTGCATTTGTGGAATGTCCCGTGGGATCGTAATCATGATTGCGTGTGTCGCGATTAGCAAAGACGTATCAGGTTTTTTCTTGTCGAGTTTTGCTCTCGGTTTTTCTCATGTCGATCGTGATATCAAAAATGCATGCCCGGGTATGGAGGACCGTGGTATGACGTACACATGTCTTACTTTCTGCGGTTGCGGTTGAGAGAAAGACTCATTCACGTCCACGCCATCCTTAACCCACACTCAAGAGTGAAACATCCCCCCTTTCTTATTCTGGAGACGCTGTAACCCGTCCGATAGCTTCTTGATCACGTCCATAACCGGTTGATGGCGGGTCGCTGCCTCTTGGAAGATGGTGGGGAGTTGCGGGTACCCATGATAGTGGTGGGAGGAGCTTGATGCGGGCGGTTGGGGGGAGTGATGATCTTGGCCATCGTGGTGGTGGTGGTGCTGGTTATTGCTATCATCATCCCCATGATTCTTGGTGTTGGTGTTGGTGTGGGGTTGCGACCGCGCACTACTGCCACCCCCAAACAATGCGCCGACCATGCCTTTGAGCCCCGACGACCCTGGACCCTGGAGATGAGGATCATCATTTCCCCTTCGGGCCGCCAGTCGATTGGTCTCCCGCTTGACCACACCGGCGATGGACTCCAAGTGATCGTCTAGGGTGGCGAAGTCCCCCAGCAGCGAGTCGGCCTTGGTTTGCATACGCGACGTCAGTTGATCGACGTACTGTTCCCGGCGCGTGAGCTGCGTGGTGGAGAGACGCGCGTCCGGTGAGGTGTTGGCGGTCGTCGCCGCCGCCGGCGCCGCCGAGCCGCGACCGCTGCCGTTGCTGTTGCCGCTGCCCCGCGCGGCGATCAAGCTGTCCACTGCCGATCGGAGGTCGGCGTGCAATGAGTCGAAGCGCCGGGTGGCCGTGCGGGTGGCTTCCAGGCAGCCGGAGAATTCCAGGTCCAGCTCGTGCTTGCTCCCCGGGTACTGTTTCTTGAGGAGTTGGTGGATGTCACGCAGTTTGGATTCGGTGTGTTTGAGGGTCGTGCTGTGCGGGGCCATGGTTTGGAGGGTGTTGTTGAGGAGTGTCTCGAGGGGGGTCTGGGTTGAGATTGAGGCGGGCTTGTTGTTGCTGTTGATGTGGTTGGGCTTGAGGTAGAGAGGGATGCAGCTGACCGGGTAGAGCGTTGCCAGGGCCGGGAGGGAGCAGAGGGATTGGTGTTGTTGGACGACTTCGGGGAGGATGAGCAGGTGGCTGATGCCAGCGATGAGAAGCACGTTCAGCAATATGCGCAGAATGAACCCACGACCGGGAGGAGTGAAGAGAGGGCGACGATTGATGGTTTCATGCTGTGCGACTATGGGCGGCGCGCTTTCTGTCGCTACAGCCGAAGGACCCTGCGTCGAGCTTCTGGTTGGTGATGGGGACGATGCTTGGTGTCTGCGTCGGAGAGCGCGTGGCGGAGATGCAGTTGGTGCGACCCAGGAGCCCTCGCAGATCGGAGCTTCATATATTGACGGCATGATAAGATCTGGTCCCGATATGGACTCGCACGAGGCGGATATCGATTCCCCCAGATTCTCATGGTGGCTCTTGGTCGGGCGCGGTGTTGTGTCGGAAGCCTCAGTCTGATGATTGTTGTTGTTCTTGTTGGCTGAAGGCTCCTTCACAAACTGTGCCGGCGCGATAACCCATGACTCCCCTAAGACGGAGCTATCCTGAGGTCGTGAGTGTTTGGACATGGTTATGGATCTGAGCAGCAAGGCCTAGAACGTGGCAGATCTGCAGCCTCCCTTGGGACAGAGGCTTGCAATAACTCAAAAAGTGCAGGAGGCGTAAGGAGAGACGCGATAAGTGTTACTTTGTTGATCCAACCACGGCGACGACAACGGTCATCGAGCCAGTGGTTGAAATCTCGTATCGTTTAGGCGCTAGCGCATCTCAGAAGAAATGCAGTGAATAACAAGGGCTATCTCAGGTCTTTGGACTCGAAGCTTTCCGCAGTAGTCGTAGGATGATTAGAGCGTTGAGCTGCGATATCCAATATTCACAAAGAGAATTTCATAAGCATGGCACTTGTTTCATCATCATAATCATCAGCAACATTCAATATCACGAGGGTCTAGGCAATAGATATAGATCTAGGATCGTCTTCAGGACGCGGTGGAGGGTGGGGGGAGACAATCACGGGAACGCGATGCCAAATCGGGCCGATCGCGTCGAGTCACGGGCGGCCGCGGAAAATCCTCCAGCTTCAACTGCTCAACTTTCCAACCTGAGCTCCTCACCATGCGACAATTAACTCCCCTGCTACGGCAGGCATCGCTGTCGCGAACTAACCTACTACACAGGTCATCGCTCGTGCGCTGGCCATCCACGCGAGTCCAATGGCTCTCCTCCACGTCGTCGCGGCCTTGTTCATCGTGCCCTGATCCCAAATCCGACCAAGCCCAGACCTCGGCCGATTATCGCGCGCTGGGAACCGCCCAAGACCTCTTCACCACTTCCATCTACAGTCCTGGATCGCCGCTCTTTCTTCCCAATGGCACACATATCATCAACAAACTTATCACCTTCCTCCGCACACAATACCTCCAGTACGGTTTCCGCGAGGTCCTGACTCCCACGATATATAAGCGTTCACTCTGGGAAGTGTCGGGCCACTGGCAGAATTACAAGGATGATATGTACGAGGTCCGCGGTCGCGGAGCTACGGGAGAGACGGAGGGAGAGGCGGGCGAGGATGAATCCTATGGCTTGAAACCGATGAACTGCCCTGGGCACTGTCTGTTGTTCAAATCGCAGACCCATTCTTACCGCGAACTTCCCATCCGCTACGCCGACTTTAGCCCCCTTCATCGCAACGAGATCTCAGGCTCCTTGAGTGGCCTCACCCGTGTTCGCCGGTTCCACCAGGATGACGGTCATATTTTCTGCCGGCCACAGCAGATCAAAGGAGAGATCGCCTCGGCGCTCGGCTTTGTGGACTTGGTAATGACGACCTTTGGACTTGGGCCATACCGGTTGGCTTTATCCACTAGACCAGAGAAGGACTTTATTGGGAGCCTGGAATTGTGGGACAGCGCCGAAAGCCAGCTTCGCGAAGCACTCAACGATACCGGTCGAGAGTGGGCTTTGAACGAGGGCGATGGTGCCTTTTATGGACCCAAGATCGATATTCAGCTTCAGGACCAGGCTGGCAAGTATCATCAGCTTTCTACAATTCAGCTTGATATGAACCTGCCCCAGCGATTTGGACTGGAATACCAGGTGGCTGAAGGGGAGCCCGACTATAACCCAGAGACACCCGGCAGAGCGACACCGGTGATGATCCACCGGGCCAATTTCGGCTCGCTGGAACGATTCCTGGCATTGCTGATTGAACAATATGCTGGCCGCTGGCCGTTCTGGCTGTCCCCGCGACAGGGAATTATCCTCACTGTCAACCAGGATGAGGCGGTGGTTCAAAAGGCACAGGATGCTGCTGCCAAGATCTCCGGATTCCGCGCCCTTCAACCGGATCAGACGGGAGGGGTCCCTCAACCTCTATCCTTTACCGACTCGACTTTCCTCATCGATGTGGACACTAGCAGCCAGACCCTGAGTAAGAAGATTCAACGGGCCAAGCAGATGAAATACAACCTGATTTTCATCATGGGGCCCAAGGATGCTGCTGCGTCCCGCATCACGGTCGACATCACCGGTCAGCTGCAAAGCAAATCTGATCGGAACGCAGAGAGGCTGCAGACTGCCGTCACTGATTGCTTTGGCGAGAAGGCGCTGCAGAATCCTCGGGCTGTCCCCTTGCCGGTGGATGATGTGCATGGGCTGCTGGTGCAGCTAGAGCGGCAATTTGTTTGATAGTGCGCCATGTGTATATAGGAGAATATCCCATGTAATATATGATTATTATCGATCTGATATGATCGAAGAGGATAGCTTCACTTCTAGCCCGGATGATCGACCCGCTGACCAACGCAGCCTTAACCCTTTGCGGCCTCACCAGTAGCGAACACGTGACACCACGGGCTTTTAAGCTTAATTCGGCGCCGACCCCGAGAGGGTCTGCCTGATTCTGGTGGCCGCCACGGGCGTTTTGGCTCCGGTGTCGGGCTGTTGATTGGTTGAGAGTGCTTCGATCCCCTCCGAGACAGACTCATATCGTCATTCCGAATCCCACCTCGCATCCCGATGCCTCCAACCCTACAATCTGCCTATTCACTCTTCGAAGGATCGCACAATCAAGGTCTTACGCTAGAGAGCACACATTAGGCCAGGAACGATAACCATCCGGGTCCAGCCATAACTGCCGCGAGAATGATGGTACGCCAATTGGTGCAAAAAGCCTATTGAGATCAAGCCATCATCAAATCGCCCCACGGCCGACCCAGTCTGAAAATAAAGTGCGCCCACCACCGCACCTCAATTGCTGTGGTTTTTTGGGTTTCTTGTCACGCTGCCGCGCTTCTGCCCCCACTCACGCCGCACTCACGCCGCGCTCTCTCGCCTTCTCTTTCCTCCTACTCCAACCCCCGCTCTCCCTTCGCGCCAGCGCCGATTTTTTCCCCTCTTCTTCTTTACACATGGAGGGAATTGTGTCCCTCGATTCTTCGTTCATGGTTTGCCAGGAGTATCCCACTCCATGGTTGTAGAATCCAAGCAGTCGGATATGGCCGAGGTGCCAGCCAAGACCAACCTTCCCCGGAAAAGCGCCTTTTCCTGCGAGGCTTGTCGCAAGCGAAAGGTGGGTTCCCCCTCCCCCTCCCCCTC